CAGCGTCACCTGCAAGGAGACAGGGACACTGCAGGGAGCCCTGCTCTGTCCTGCTGCACACCCTCCCTGCTGCATCAGGGGTCTGCAGGGGGGGAGAGGCCACCACCAGAACCCTTGTGGTGGCTCCACCTTGATGCTCCGCGACTTGTTTGTGCTGCAGGATCCCCTACGCAGCTCCAGTGGGATGTGAGACTCCTGCTGCTGGTGGCACCAAGCCCCAAACGTGGCACCAAGTCCCAAACGTGGCACCAAGCCCCAAACGTTCCCTGTGGACAAAGCCAACAGCTGCCAGGGAGGTGGGGCATGGCAGCAGTCGGGTCTTTCTGTGGATGGGATGGAGAAAAGGGCATGGAGAGGCCTGCAGGACAGTGAAGGTGCAGAAGAAGTACAGAAGAAGACCTCTGAGAATCCCCCAAGCCAAGCATGGGCTATACAGTGGAGGGGGCATGGCCAGTTGCTGGTGGAAGGAAGGACCTTTGCAGCAGGGAAGCTGGGGCAGGGTCATGCTATGGTGTGGAGGGATGCTCAAGTGCAACCTTTAATGGTTCCTTCCAACCAAAACCATTCCATGATTCTATGGAAAACAGGGCTAGGCACTTGGCCCAGCACCATCTGGGGATGGGGAGTGAGGAGGCAGGGACTGCAAGACAGGGACAAAGGGAAAGTGAAAGGAATACGGGATGCTCTAGGGAAACCTTGGTCCATAGGAAAGGAAATTGGAAGGCTCCACTTTTATGGAATGACCAGGCCAGGCTCCAGGTCCTGCAAACCCCCATGCTGTGCAGGGGTAATTCAGTTCCTCCCACAAATGCTTGGATTTGGGAGGAAAGCACAAGTCCTTCTTTTATTGGAACAGCAGCATTTTCCCCTTCAGATACAGATGTATAGAAAATTTCATCTTATTATTTCCCTCCTAATTAGAGTCCTTTTTGATTACTCTCCACCTTTGAAGAAGGACAATGATTGGCTTGGGTTTATCAGCAGCCTTTTATCAGCATCCCACGGGACTTCTGTCTTGGCAGAAGCCTTTTAGGACTGTTTAGAAGATTGGGGTAGGGAGGAAACCCACCACTGAGCAGGATGTTTTTACCACCCCAACTTAACACAGCAACCTCTAAAATCAGTGCAGATGAGATGGGCTTCTTTAATGGGTCCCAGTGAACCACCAGGATACTCCAGCAGGGATGCTCCCAGGGTTTGGGATGGTAGCAACCAACCTCTGCTCCAGTGCAGCTGGAAAATGGTCACTGCTTTGGGAGCAGGGCATGGTACGTCCTGGATCCCAGTGGATAACATGGCAGAGCACCACCTAATCCACAGACCCCTAATTTACAGAGGCCTCTGCCCCATCCCCTGCAGAAGACCCTGGCAAAATGCTCAACGCCCTCAGGTCACCCATGACATGCAACGTCTCCTAGGATGTGCCTGGGCACTTGTGCAGTGCTGGAGGTGGGAGATGGGATGGCAGGGTGGATGTGCCAAAGCCAGGCTCAGTGGATGGAGAAGACACCTTGGGGGAGATGACAGCAGAGATGAAAGCAGTGAGAAGAAAAATGAAAGAGGAAAATACCGGATAGGCCCAGGGAGCCACTGATGGGTGATGCCCAGGAGAGCTGAGAGCTTGGGAGAGAGGGAGAGAAGAGGGGCTTGAAACTCCTCAGAGGAAACAGGCTTTAAAAGGTGTCCTTCTCCCTGGTGGTGCTCCTATCTGTGTCCTGGGAGAGCTGTAAGAGCTACCCCACAAGACCCTCACCAGTGTCACAAAGTGGAGCTGCCAAACTACATCAAGCAGGGAGGGTTGGAGAACCCTGGTGCTACAGCAGCCTTGATGGAGAGACCTGGAGCAGGAAGCCAGAGGCTGCAGGAAGGCCTGTCCTCATTTACAGACTCACAGGTGGTTTAGGGTGTAAGTTTAGCTCTTCCCAAGCCACCCCTGCTGCACAAGAGCCCTCCCTAACTCCACGAAGTCCCCAGAGCTGAGCATCAACATGCACTGCAGGGACAGCAGCACTAGAGGGGGTCTGCCAGCAAGCCCAGCAGTGGGATATGCTGCTTTGGAGCTCCAGAGTGTGGTGAAAGCACCAACCTGCACGTTCCTGTTGAGGCTCACTGCAGGGAAGAAAAGGCCCTCCAGGTTCTCGAAGGCCACAGGCCCTTGCTGGTCCTCGTTGATGGAGAATGTCAGTGTCCTTCTGGTCAAGTCCAGCAGCACTCCCACCGTGGCGCCTTTTGTTATCCCGCCCTCGGTTCTGCGGGGGTGAGAAGAAGATCAGAGCATCTCCATGGCTTTGTGACTCTCATGCTCCTGGCTCAGTCAGGCCATGGACCTCAAGGGCTGATGATGCTGAACTTCACAGCTCACCCAGGAGCCAGGCCATGACCTGCACCCATCCCAGCCATGCTCTCAGTCCCTGGGCACCTCCTCATCAAGCCTCTTGCAGAGGTCCTCTCCACTTGCTTTGATGTCCTCGAGGGCAAACCTACCCCCTAGAGCATTCACAGGAACACAACCCTGGGGGAAAGCAAGAGATCTGGGGAATATTCTGCAGGGCCTTCTTCGAAACCTCCTGACCCACCAGGGGACAGCCCTTGAGGCTGAAGGTGACCTCAGGCTCTCCTCAAGCTTTGGAGCCCTCAGTCCTACTGCCCCATGGAGAACATGAGCCATAGCTGTGGCACAGGGGTAATGGCAAACATTGTTTTCTTGCTGCAAGGTTTTGAGTGTTAATGGGAAAGGGGGTGCTAGAAGAAGAGTCAGCACAGGAGGAGTCACAGCAAGCAGGGAAGGGATATTGGAGCAAGGCTGGGCATCAGCAGAGAATCAGCGGATACCAGGTTGGAAGGGACCTCAAGGATCATCTGGTCCAACCTTTCTTGGCAAAAGCACCATCTAGACAAGATGGCCCAGCGCCTTGTCCAGCCCCAATCTTACAAGTGTCCAATGCTGGGGAATCCACCACTTCCCTGGTCTGCCCTTCCCTTCGGGTGAGGGCACATCCTCTGAGAGAGGCGACTAGAAGCCATGTAACCCTTCCCGTGGGCACCTGTGGGTGCCACTGGACAAGCTCTTACTTGGGCTGTGGCCTCTGGGAGCCAGAGCACATACCTGTTGGTGTGTGAATTGTTGTGCATGAACCAGCTCCGGTTATTGTCCACGTACATGGCCCAGGCCTTGTCATCCTTGCCCAGCATGGCATCCTTGAGGACATCAATGCGTGCCACGCCAAAGGCCGGGTCGGGGTGGTTGTCGTACCGATCGATCGACAGCTCCCAGTAGTGGAGCCCTTTGGAAAAGCCCGTTTTCCCCAGCACAACCCTGTCATCATAGCTGTTGCAGGTGACAGTCAGGTTGTCATTAGAAAAGATGATGTCAGCGTGGGCAGAGGAAGGATCGAAAGAAAACCAAGCGACTGGAACACACAAACAGCATCAGGTTAGTCTGGTGGGACTGCGGCCGTCGGTGACCGAGCCATGCCGAGGGGACATGGAACATGCTGCATGCAGGGCTGACACAGGGCCAGGGCAGGGAGGGGGCTTGGGCCATGGCCCACCAAGGTGGCAGTGAGAAGCAGGCAGGGTGATGCACTGTGGAGGGAGCTGCTAGCTCATGGAGGGCTCCTCCTTCCATCACAGAGGGATGCTTTGAGCTGCTGCAACTGCAGCCTGCCAGCGTGGCTGAGGTTTTACGGCTGAGACTCAGCTGAGTTCTGCTCTTGCTGCTTCCTGGCGCCTGTTTGTCTTCATCACCTCCTGCCTGTCTCAGCTCGTGAGCCCACGGGATCACAGGATGGTTTAGATTGGGAGGGATGTTGAAGATCATCCAGCCCCAACCCCCCTGCATGGGCAGGGACACCTCCCACCAGCCCAGGTTGCCCCAAGCCCCATCCAACCTGCCCTTCAACGCTGCCAGGGATGGGGCAGCCACAGCTTCTCTGGGCAACCTGGGTCAGGGTCTCACCACCCTCATGATCCTCCTAAAATCCTCATGATCTCTTAGAATTTGGCCCTAGCAGAAGGAGACATGATCCCGGCCAGGGCTCCAGGCTCCAGGTGACACAAGTTGCTCTCAGGACTGCGGGTCACTCATGCAACCAAGTGTTTGCAGGGTCAGGCCCAGCATGGCAAGGGGACTGAGGATTACTGGAGAAACTGTGTGTGTGTCTTTGAGGGCTAGTGGTCCTGGGAACCAAAAGCATGTACAAAGGTCTACACTGACAGAGACACTACATCACACCAAGACACCTCCCTGCAGAGTGACCAGCCACATGTAAGACAAGAGCCAGCTCATGGGAAGGCTGGAAAACACCCCAAAACCTCCACGACTTAGTACAGCTGCTGGTTTAAAACACACAGGACTCAGTTACTGCCAATCTGACAGACACAGTGTCACGTCCTCCACAAGACAACAGGCATGGGGTTGCACAAGCCACCAGGCTCCCCGGGTGGTTTATCTCCAGTGGTGACTGAAAACGGCCACATCCACACAACGCTCTTACGCCTGCAGGAGTCAACACGGCTTGAAAAACAAAAGACTCTGGTGAGATTTGTTCAGGGATTTATTGGATGGTTCCACAAGACAGGTCACATGCACCCGCCTGCCCCGCTGCCACCGCCTGCCGGGGGCCATTCCGTACCTGCCACCATTTTTTTAATGTCAACTGTGGTCATTCCCAAGGAAAGGCATGAGGGAGAGAAAACAGCAGGTGAAGTTGGGTAAAGAAACGAAAGAGAAACAATTTCTGCTTGGCCTGCTTCTCCAGTCAGGGCACGGACCTCGTCTGCATAAAGGTGGGGAGAGATGGAGCTGGGATGGGCTCTGGGCAGGTGTGTGAGCTGCCAGAGCAGGGAATCCTGCTGGGCTGGGCACAGGGATGCTCCTCCCAGGGCAATGAATTGCCTTGAGGTTGCAGGAGGCAACATGGGCCAGGCCCCCAGATCCAACCAGCAGCTCCAATTAGCTGCAGAGGGACTAACCACCTTAGTGTTTGGCGCATGGTGATGATCTGGAATACCTATTGCTTTGAGGAGGAGGATTGGTTCTTAGTTACAGGGCCAATTCCACAGCTCTGACTTCAAGGCTTCTCCTTAAAACCATCCAGGAGGAAAACTTAAAATGCCTTTCCATCATAGCAGCCATCCCCATTCCTCCTCCAAGTCCACCTCCTGCCCTGACACCCAGGAGTGCTCTGCAAGCAGCCAACGTGCAAGGGGGGCTGCTCGGCTGTCCCAGGGGAAGTTCAAGATTTAAAAAACCCAACAGGAAAGAAAAGGATGAGCTGCACGGTGTAGGTGCCAGTTAATTGCAATGAATATACTTGCCTAATTGAGAGTAAGGCGTTCCTTGTGTCTCAAAATTGCATCCTACAAAGAGATACTACATTTCACACATCACAGCTGAGAGACAACAACCGCCTGAAAAACACTCGCGAGCGTTTAAGCATTCCCGAAGCATCCAGCCAGGCAGGGGAGGCTGATCCTTAACAGCCAGAGAGCAGAGAGAGGGGTTGCAAACACGACCCGTGAGTTTGAGTGTTGCCCATCTTGGTGGGTCTCACCTCAGGGACCTGCTCTTTCCTGGCCTGATCCCACCGCAGCCTTCAAGAGCATTGGTTCTGAGCGCTACCTGCTGGGGATGCTGAGTCACTGGGCTTTGCTCCAGAAAAGGGGCAGGAAATTGGAGTCTTGGAGCAGTATCTTGGCTGCTTGGTAAATATTCCTTAGCTTGACTCTCACCTGAACCACTTAAAAGCCATTCCTTGGAGGACAGAGACTGATGGAAGAGCAGCTGCTGGGTGTGTCCAGTGACCCCCAAGCTCTCCCAGGCTGCCTCCCCTGCCCTGTGTGCACTTTGGGCAGGAGTGGAGCTAGAGAAGGGGCTCCTGGGGGCAGCTGCCTGGCCTCAGACCCTTGCTAGCACCCAAAGGACTGCAGCTTTGACTGCAGCATGTGTTGGGGTGTCCTTGGGGTGCCCCTCATCCTGTGACAGGGCTGCACCTGACTGCTGGCTGCAAACACCTCCTGGGAGCTGGACTGCACCAGGGACTGATCCAAGAGCCTGTCCTGATCCAGGAGCATATCCTAAACCAGGAGAACATCCTGATCCAGGAGCACATCCTGCTTTAGAAGCTTTCCATGATCCAGGAGCACATCCTGATCAAGGTGCTTGTCCTGATCAAGAAGCAAGTCCTGATCCAGGAGCATATCCTGATCTAGGAGCTTGCCATGATCCAGGAGTTCGTCCTCACCAGAAGAGGGCAACATGAAGCCCTGTGTCAGCACTGCACGGGAGGACATTCATGAAGGGTGCTGGATTTTAAGGAGAGCCCTGTCTTGCTCTGTGACTGGCTTTCACCTCCCCTTTGGTGAGGAACTGGGCTTTTCACCCTGCTGATGTGTGTTGGTGGGACAGCCCCTGCCAGCAGCACCTCCTGAGGCTGTCTGAGTGAATGGTGCCCCTGCCCAAAGAGCACTTCTCAAGCTCTCTGCACCACTGCCATGCAAGTTCACCTGGCTGCAGAAGAGCAGGGACACACGGGCACGTGGAGGACCTCCTTTTGCCCTTCCCACCACCCTGGACCCTGGCTGCAGAACTCTGTAGCACACACACAGGAATTGCTCAGGGCCATCCTGGTAGATCTGGGTACACTGGACATAAGGTAAGAAACGGCCATGACAAAGCAGGGCTCCAGCCAGGAAAGCACAGCAGCAGGATGAGAGAAAGAAATCAAAGCAAAACATCAAAAGCACAAAGAAAAAGTGAGTTGCAGGGCCCCTGGTTATGTGTCTGGCAAGGGTCATGCTGCACATTCCTCATTCCGGGGATGGGATGGAAACCAAACGATCGGGGGCCCCTGTTCTTCCTGGGCTGACACCAGAGGAGGCTGTTAATGACCCCACTGCAGCCCATGGAATGGTGTAAATCCAGGGTGGGGGAAGAATCAGGGCCCAGGATCTGGAGCAAAGGAAGATGTGCAAAGAGGGGTTAGTAAACAGCTCTGGGAGATGTGTTTTGCCTGTGGCTCCTTCGCTGCCTGCCCGGGACCCTGGCTCAGCCTGCCCCTGCTGCCTCTGTCCCAGCACAGTCCACCTGGAGCAGGCACCAGGGGACAAAGCAAAGTGCTCGTGGGTGCTGCCAGCTGAGCGAGGGGTCACGGGAGGGGGTTCCTCTGCTCTGCTGAAAACAAGACCTCCATGTGATCATAGCTGGTTTTGTAAAAGCCGAGCCCAGTGCTCAAAGCTGAGCAGACAGGAGCCCGTATCTTCAGGGTCTCCAGAAGCCAGACTGCAAGGGCTCTGTGAGCTGGCCTTAGCAGACCTTGCTTGCATCTAGACTTGCTTCTTGCTTCAGAGGGGCCTGGATTTAATAAAGCAAACTAGTTTCACAGAAGAAATCTCACAGCAGAGGCTGCCTTTTCTGGCTGTACCAGGAAAGGAAACCACTGAGATGTTTCTCCCAGGGAGGGTCTGTTATTCTGACTGTCCCTAGACACAAGATCAACACAAACCAAAGACGAGGGACCTGGTCTGCCAGTTTCCTGGGTCAAACGGGTCAGCCACGTTGAGAGCAGCACCCAGGTAAGGAGTTACTGTGTTGCTCTCTCACCCCACTCCTAAAACTGCCCATGCTGGCACATACAGATGAACACACCACCAGAGCCACGCCATCAGAAGTCCCTCCACAGCAGGAGCAGGCCAGTGACAAACAGAAAAAGAGTTCCCCTGCCATCTGCATGTCATGGGAAAAACAAAACACAACGGAACAAAACAAACAAACATTTTGGAGATGCCCAGAAGCACAGACCAAGAAGAAATGCCAGAGGCACTCAGCTCACCGGCTGAATTCAGGGACTGTAAAGAAGAATGCAAGCTCAGCTGGTGGGCCGAAGATCTTAGCTCAAAGTAGGACCTCCCGGGGAAGCTGGGTTGTAGATTAAGGGTGGAGGAGAAAGGACTCATTCTACGAAGCTGCGATCTTTCCAAAGGCACTGGAAAAGGGAGGGTCTGTTCTTCTGACTGCGTGTCTAAACGTAAGATCAATGCAAACTAGAGATCAGAAATGGGGTCTGCTGGAGCAGAAATGCCTGGTGCTGTGCAGCCCAGCCAGACCCCTCAGGAAAGCCTCTGAGTGTTGGCAAGAAACATCTTCCAAAACGTCCCAATCTCATCGTGACAAATTCAACACACTTTTCTTTAAAGCCAGTCCTGCACCTCCTTGCAGGAACACCCCCAAATCAATTCACAGGTCACCATGCACACCTCCCATCGTTCTTTCAGGTGTCTCAGACCTTTTTTTGTGCCCCACACAGGAGTGGTGTAAAAGCCAGCAGGTTGGCTGTACTGAGCAACGTGACCCTAAGTCCCACCAAGCACCCACCTTACTCAAAGGCTGTTCGGGATGTTGTGCTCTTGGTATCCCTTTGGACCTGTCAAAACACAGCTGAGCCTCACAGTAAGAATTTAACTCATGTGATTCACAGCAACACGTCAGAGTAGAGGGAAACCTCTTGGGTTATTGGTTTCTGTTCCCTGCTACCACAGCTGGTCACTTCCTGCAGTTTCTTCCCTAGCCTTGCTGAGGGACACTTCAACGTGCAAATGTAGGATCCACCATCCTCCACACATTGGAATCAGATCAAACTCCCAAACTCTGTATCCCCAGCCTGCCTGTCTCAGCTGTGAATGTGGACTGAGCTGGAAATGACATGAAACCAGATCAAAGGAGGCATTTCTTTGCACAGTGGGTTGTAACTCCTGCAAGGTGCTGCTGCTGAGGCTGTGGAAGCAAAGAGCATCAGGGGGTTCGGAAATGGGTAACAGACATCATTGCACAACAGGTCAATAAATGGAGCTCAGCTTAGGGAGGGAAGTGCCTTCTAACATCTACCAAGAATGAGAGGAACTACCACCTAGAGCAGCCAGGCTGATGGCTTTCCCTAAGCAGCATCTGATGTCCCTGCAGCTCCTTGCAGTGTGTCTGCCCAAGTGTTGCTCAGCGCTCCCCAAAAGCTGCTGGTCAAAAAGCTCAGGTTGCTGCTGAGGGTCACTCCAAGGCTGGGAAGGAACTTCAAGTTGGGCTCCCAGATGAGGAGCTGGGCTTGAAAGAAGATGAAAGCTTCTGGTGCTCAACTAGGCTGGGGAAAGGCTCTCCTGGCTGGTGCCCAAGCCCCTTTGACATGTCCCCACGGTGGCAGAGGTGGCCATGAGTGGCTGCTTGTGGTGTTGTGGGAGTTGGCCAAGTTTGGGAACCTGGGAGAGGGGACAGCAGGGCAGAGAGTGTGACAAGCCAGGTGTTCCTCCCTGACCCTCTGCTCCTAGGCATGTGTCCCTCCAAAGAAACAAGAAGCCAAAACCAGGCTTGCCTTGAAACTGTGCAGCCATGGATACCCAGAGCAGTTTAGAGAAGGGGCAGTGGAGACTCAGCTGGTTCCCCAGACTGGCTCCCAGCACTTCTGCAGCTTTTTAAGCTGCCTGTGCCCTGGGACAGGGTCACTTTGCAGACTGTCTTCCAAACTACTTTCCAAGCCTACAGCTGAACTTCAAGCAGCTGCTGAAGGAACAGAGATGTTAAGCCAGGCCCTACATCACAGTGCCTTGCAGCTTGCACTGATGGTCCTGGGAGGCACCAGCTGAGATGTCACAGGGCAAGAGACAGAGAGAGGACACAGCTCAAAGTAAGGACCATTGCCATCAGCTCTTGCTGCCATTTGGGTGTGCTGAAGATGAGGATCTTCATCCCTGGGAAGCTCCAGAGCATGTGGGAAGGGCTCTGGGGCACAGATCTTCTCACAGCCAGGAGCCACCTTGTCCTGCTGGTGGCACCAAGCACCAGCTTTGAAGAGGGAATTGCAGTGTCCTCAGCTGGAAAACATAATTCTTTTGGGATGAGCAGAAGACGTGCCACACTATGGGCTGGGAAGGTGCTCTACAGCTTCCTGTAGTGCCAGCTTGTGTGTGCCAGCTTTTTGTAGGACATTCCCACCAGTGCTGGCTGGCTTGCCTTGGCTCCAG